AACGAAGTTACGGAAAAAAAAATCAATTAACAAACGGAGACGTAACAATGCCAATCACATTTGGCAAGGCAGTTATTTCTATTTAATATTTGAAGAAAAAAAATGATGTTATATATTATTAATCTAGTTTATACTGTGAACAACTAAAATACACATTGAATTGTTTAAATTTAGCACTGAAATTATTATGACACATAGAAACCCATAAAACTAAAGATATTAATTTGGGTGGTATATTACTTTTTGTATTTGCATTCCTGAGATGTCTAGAATTTAAAAAATAAAGTTATTTTTATATTCTCTCATAAGACAGAGGGCAGCACAAGGTTTTCATAAGATGCAAATCATCTAACGTTCAGTGTTATGAGGTTTGACGCTAGATTTACAAATCAAGAAGTATACTAGTTTTATTGTTTTTGGCTCTTAACTTTTAAGAAGCATATTATGGGAGATTCAACTTACGATCGTGCTATAACTGTATTTTCACCTGATGGTCACCTATTTCAGGTTGAATATGCACAAGAAGCAGTTAAGAAGGGATCAACAGCGGTGAGTAGCCTACACTGACTCCAACTTCCAATCCAAGTCCAAAGTCAAAACTAGTACTCAGTAGTACTAGTAGTAGACTCAGTAGTATAGTAGTAGTAATTTGTTGCACCCTTCCTTAGAAAACATTTCTTTTAGTTTCACCGTTACCTGTTATTTTGAGATAAAACAATAAGCCATGAATAATTTAGATCAGTAGCTTATGTAATATTATAAGTTATAACTTAAAGTCATCATTTGAGAATTCTCACTGTTAATGTTAGTGGTCTTGTCGGGCATTATATATGTGTTTCAAGCTTTGTTCAACTTTACAAATAGTAGACTTCTTTACTTTAGTTCTTAAGAAGTTCCACAAACATTAAACAGCAGTACTTCAAAGTTGAACTTGAAGCTAACAACTACTGTGAACCAAAAGTGAGGTGAACTCAATGTTTTATTGTAATATTACTTTCATTACCACTTTTAACATCATTAGATAAAATGTTTAATATAACTAATTTTATTATTTTAATTGTTTATAATCATACTTTTGTTATAAAGATTGTTTTGCATTGTTATCTTAGAATATGGATTTAAGAATAACTCGGATCTCTTAAGCTGATTAAACCATATAGTATATTACTGAGTTTACAGCCAAAAAAATTAACAGCTGTTATTTTTGCATGTAACAGGAGAGATTTGGAAAGAATGTGAGCAATACACACAGTGTTATTGCATTTACTGGAAATAATCTTGTCACGGTTATTACAGATTTTCATTTCATGACAATGCAGTAACTATAATTTCTGGTGACCCTGTTGCTTTGAGTGTGCAATGGTTTTATTGTTGTATTGATTGGCCCAGTGATATAATGTGTGAACTATATTTTAGTGTATAGCATCATTCAATATAATGATTTTATTGAAATTATTCAAAGAAGATGTAATGATACTTTACCATTTTAAAATAACGGAAGTGTTAAATGACACATTTAAAATTTATTTCAAAACTAACCATAACGTAATTATGTCACCTTGTTGAACTACCATCTGTTTCACAGGAGTGACCTGCAATAATCTGTATTTAAATGCCTATCTTTGAATGTAGAAATTATGGTTATTATTTATTAATTTTAAACAGGTATATTTTATACTTGCATTTTGCCAAAGACTTGATTTTTAATTATCTAGTCGGTAAGTGCTGCAAGAAAGGGAACTTAATTCCAGAACTTTAATCATTTGATTTTGTTCTTGTTGAAACAAAAAAATGGTCCCTATCCATTTTTAAAACAAGAAATATTATTATTTGGAGAAAAACCAGTTTTGGTGTAATGAATGCAAATTTTACTAAAATGCAGGTTGGTGTTCGAGGAAATACCATTGTTGTTCTGGCTGTTGAGAAGAAATCTGTTGCAAAACTACAAGAAGAACGAACAGTCCGAAAAATATGCCTTCTTGATGAACACGTAGTAATGACATTTGCAGGTAAGCCTTTGTGTTAAAAATATTTGTAATGTGCACATACTTGTGCAACAGGTTATTCTGCCTTTTGGTAAAACCTTGCCCAGATACATTAAGGTAACTTAAGTTATTCACTATGATGTAATTCTACATGAATAAGATAGTGCAACATTTTTTTTTTCAATTTCAAACATTGATGTTCTGTGTGAAAAAAATATTTTGATATACCTCACTGAGTTTTCTACCTTCAATTATTAAACATTTTATAAGATATGCTTTGTTAGATAAGTATATCCATCTGTTCTGTTTAAAGTTTCTAAGCTCGTATTTTATATGACAGTGTTGTGAAGTTACAACTCTGTTATTCAGAAATTGTTGGTTCTCTCTCATACTCTCATTGGAAACTGTTGAGATCAGTCTTTTTGTTATGCTTATGACATGTTAGTTTCTTATCTCTTTTTAGGACAGAAATGAATTTGTTTTTGGTAGCCTGGCCACTCTTATGTTTTTTGTTTGTTATTTTAGTTATAACTTGCATGTGGATTATTCTTCTTATTCTTAACCTACAGACAACAAGAGACCTTCTGGTCCTTCAAGGTTATTTTTGTACACCCATTCTTGAAAAAAAGCAAAAACTTAAACCCACCATTTATTTTTGAGGAAATTATATATTCCCGTTTTCAAACTCTTCTATTAATTAATCACCCGTTAGAAAAGTGACACACTTCTTTTTCTAAATCTTAAACTTTATCATCATATTTTACTTGTAATAAATCAGAAATAGATCAGAGGCTTTTATTCTATCAATCACCTGGATAATGTTATAAACTTTAATAAGATCATCCATTACCCAATCTGATCTTTAACCTCCTTTAAAACTTTAGGAAAAAGTCTGGTGCTTTATTTTTAATATAACAGTCTTGCTTTTTACCACCAAGGAACTAATATGTACACGATTCAGTCAATTGATTGTAAAACTAGAAAAGAAGAAAAATGTAAAAGCTCAGCCATCTCGTAGCTTTAGACAAAAAACCATACCATCATCATCCTGTAAGGACTGCTTACCTTTTAACATTATTAACCAGTTGTTTCACATAAGCCCTTAAGGTATGACATATTATCCATGATTTTCTCTGTTATCCCAATATTAAGTCAATGAGGTTGTATATTCCCTGTTGCCATTTTTCTTTTTTTTTCTTTTCTTAGGAACACAACTATCTTAAATGAAAAGCAATTTATTTTAAAACATTCCCAAACTTGTTTCACTTCACATTTTAACTCATTATCCCAATTCACTAATGATAACTAATTTCTCATTATCTCAGAAATTTGCTTTCTGAAAAACTGATACATTTATTTAATATCACATAAGTACTTAAGAGCATTAACGATAAATTTTGGGGTTGATGTTATGAGTGAATATGATAAGTATTAAACTTCCATTATTTTACTTTTTTATGCTGATTTCACAGTTTAATAATTATTTCTTTGCCACATGCGTCTTCATATTTTGTCTAATGATAGACTTGAAAGATAAAAAACTAAGATTATTTTGTGGTAAATTGACAAGCTGTACTGTTACAGATACAGACTTTAGCCTGTATCCATATATATAAACACTTTGAATAATATGTTTCACTTTTTTTCATAATGTGTTTTTTTTTTTGACCAAGTATTAAAATTTCTGCAAGTAACGTTAATCCTTTTTTTGGTAAAACCAAAATTATTATGCGATATACTGACAGTTTATAGTAGAAAATTGTTTATGTTAATTTAGTTGAAATTGGATATTACACATATATATAATTTTTCCTTTTTTTTTTTAGGTTTAACTGCAGATGCAAGGATATTGATAGATAGGGCAAGGGTCGAATGTCAAAGTCATAAGCTAACAGTAGAAGATCCAGTAACACTAGAATATATTACACGGTACATAGCACAACTGAAACAGGTATGAATATGTTTAAATTTTCTCAAGAATATATCTATTTACAACCCATTAAATACAAATAAAAAACGTTTTCCAAATATTAAAAGTGCATTTGTTGTTTGAAGAATAAGGTAGCAATTTAATGTTAAAAGTATAAGAAAATATGAAGCTATTTGGTGTGTTCACTGTCATAGCTGTGAGCTTTGATTGGTGTTTTGCAATATGATTTTAATGAAAACAAGTTCCATAAAAGCTAGATATTTCTACTCTTTGTAGAATTGCCTTAAACTTTCTAGTGACGAAGAGTATTAAAGGTTAAAATTCAAGGAACTTGAGTATATATATTTAAAATCTTTATTTACACTGATCAGCCAAACCAAATTCCTTTGATTTTCTGAACTTGGAGAGTTATGCAAAGACATTTATTATTGTTTTCTTGTTTTGTGATTAATAATTATGGTTCTCAATATTTTGCCTCTACATATAAATTGTGACTCTCACATTACCCTTATTTGTTACTTGTGATTTTCATTTTATCTTCACTTGCTTATGTTTTTCATATTATCTTTATATGTCACTTCTACAGCTGGGAAGTTAATTCAATTAATCAATATAATTGATTACCTTTAAGCATTGATTATTATCACATAAAATAATTTGAGTCAAAAGTAAGATGAAATTGAATATCATGAAAATAACTAATTAATCAAAACGACTGTTTCCAATTATAAATGTTTTTTATTATTCCAACTATTCAGGTTATGAAATATTGCCGTTGTGATTTCCTATTCTGTTTTGATTAATTCAAGGTTGTCCAGCTTAATTTATTAGGTCATGACTCACAGAAATAATCAACTAATTAGAAATATTGTTTCTGTTTATCACTATTTTTGATTAAGATAGTTGGAATAGTCTAATTTGTGAATAATTGATTAGTTGAATTTATCAATAGATTTCACTAATTGCCCAGCTTAAGTGTTTTGTGCTTTTCACTTTACCTTTACATGTCACTTGTACTTTTCATGTTGTTTTCCAGAAGGAATAATGTAATTTCTTTAAGTAATAGCACATTATTAACAAACTTCATTGGTATAGTTTAATTAGTATCAAATTTTAGTAGTGTGTGCGTGTAAGTTTACTTTGTTACAGTTTTATGAATAACTAGTTTGGTTTGTTATGATGCCATTTTATTTTTATTAGTACACATAAACAAGCAAAAGTAATGAACTGTACATTATTCCAGCAGAGTGCATTTCAAGTACAGTATATTGTACAAATTAATCATGAAGTATTTAAAAGTTCAATATGATAACTTTAAGTGTTGGATTGTATATTGGACAAAGGGAAATATTTATATAATTACAACCAATTTGACATTTGTTCTTTAAGTTGATTGTGGTACTAAGGCATTAGCCTGTGCAAGTCATCAAGTTACTTATACAATGAAACATCTAATACATTAATCCTATGTGTATAGGTGGGGCTTAAAGTGTGCATGCCACAACCTTTTACAGAGTATCATTCACCATGTTATTATGTATTTGATGTCAGAGTTATCAACTATTCATTTTAACCTACATTACTGATTTAGCAACAGTTCGTGATAGAGGAAAGTAAGTACCAGGTACAATGTATAGGGATCTGTTAAAAACTGTAAGTATGCAATTCAGAGGTTTTAGAAATTATGCAATGTGCAAACTGTATGATAGACAAAACTATTTTTGTTCTTCACATGAACTTTACCTTTCACTCCAACTTGTCAGAGTCCGAGTCAGGCTGGCATCATCAGTTCACAGACGTATCTTGAATACATGTACTTTTGTGATCTGTCTTATTTTTAGTGTACAGTAGACTTGGACATTTTACTAAAAGTTTACCATATGTTGTGTAGATAGTAGTGCATTCAGAATTATAGTCAACATTTCTTTGGTTAATAAAATATTGAATTTTTAAGAATAAGCTCAGTTTGTTTTAAGAATTGCTAGATATTACATCCTTGAGTGTCAACTGAATAGAATAAAATGCTTGTTAATTTTTGCATTAATTTCAAAAAGATATAACAACTGGGAAAAAAAATTAACTTTTTATGAACTCGGAAATAGTCATTTGTAACAGTTTTATGCATAGGCTCTGTAGCATTCCCAATAATATTAAAACCTTGTATTGCTGTAACTCTTACACTATATTAGTACATTCTACAAAGTGTTAGTGCTGCTATCCATTCAGTTCCTGTTGAGCTGTCTAACATGGCAGCAAATGATTTGTTTTAGCTAACCTTTGTTTTCTGTGGCCCATCTGGTGTCATGAATTCTTGTGATATAGAATGCATATAAACCTTAATAAATCAAAACCTTTATATTTGCATAAAAGAGCAAGTCAGAAACTTTATGACATCCTCAGTATCTTCATGATGTCCATGGGATGAATTGGTACTGAACTGGATTGTTTTATTGTTGAGTAACGACCCAGTTACAAATAGTATTTATTTAAGATACCAGGAATATGCAGTTACTGAGTTGCCAACTCTAGGAAGTTATGTGACAAACAAGGAAACAGAGCTTGTAAAAAACAAAACATAGATTTTAATACATTAACAATATGAATATAGTTGGTTTCCAACCTCTTGAAATAAGAACAAATTTACATTGATTTAATACTTGGTTTGAGTAGTTAACTAATTAGAAATTATTGTTTACCATTATACCAAATTCTCTTCCAGCATAACTTCATCTGTTTATCTACATTGATATTTTAACAAAGCTTCCATTTTAAAGGAGAATCTTGTAAGAATACAGAATACAACTAATGTTCAAACTGAACATTGATTCATAGTGAAGAGTACTGCTAGTTCAGGCTAGGTTTTGACCAGACTGGCTAACTTTATGACTAACTACCTCAGTAACTAATTAGCTTGGTTTAGCTACAGCTTTTATTATATATTTTTAATCCAAGCATTACTGTTCCTCATGTAATAAGCCTTTGTTTTACTGAATTAAACCAGTTCTTTCTGGCATGACATGATGCATAATGTAGAGAGTTCAGTTTTGTATATAAAAATATCCACAAAAACTTTGATGATTGCTATGTCACACTGTCCTTAATACACATGGACAGCAACCTTGACAATTCATTTAGCCAGTCAGCATGTTATCAACTAATAACCATGTATTTGTTTTCCTCCGATGCTAAATGTCCTTAAAGCTCATTTTTCAGTAGATCCCTCAATGTATGGCTTAAGGTTAAAATGATAGCTAATCTTCATCTTCATAGTGCACTCTGATATATCATCGGCTGTGTTAAATGATCCTTGAGTGCTTATTTAAAAGTACTCTTTCAGCTCACTGTTACTGAAGATGCTTATGGCAGTGCCACTTTAGAAAATGATCATATATAAGCTGTTTTGAACCAAACTATTCTGTACATGAAGGTTTCTTCAGTTTTTAACCTTTTCTCTAACCCTACTTCTCTAAAGTGAGGCAAACTGTACTTTCAATAAAAGTTAACACAAGTTCATAATGAAGTCATCATGTAAGCTGTTTCATTACTAACACATGATTTTAATGTTGTTATTAATACCAGGATTATTGTAGATTATGCATTTACAAAATTCACTCATCATGTAAAGAATATTTCAAGATAAAAAAAAAAAATCATATTTCTCTACCAGTACTAGTTAAATTGGATGTTCATGGGATTAGTCCATTGGAGCACAAGGTGATGTTCACATGAAGAATAAAAATACTTGTGTCTATAATACAGTTTGCATATTGTACTTGTATAACCTCTAGACCCTCCAAAATGCACATCTACAGTTGTTTTCAGTATTTCCATATATTGTATTTGGTATTTACCCTCCTCTGCTACAAACTGTTGCTAAATAAGCAATGTAGAGTAAAAAATGAATAACTGGTAAACTGACATTAAATACATATTATATTGAATGGCAATCTGTAAAAAGTCATGACAAGCACACTTTTACCCCAAACTGTGCACATAGGGTTAAAGCTAAGATCAAACTTTTTAGTCTTATGATTTTTAGTTTTGTTTTTTAAGCTTGTCTATGAAGGATTCCTTTTAACACATGAACAATTATGTGGGAGTACTTAAAATAGATGCTCAAAAAGTTGACCTGTTTGTTAAATTTTTATGGGAAAGAAGTTTAATACAATCAAAACAAAAAAATTTAATTTCTGTGATGTTTGATAGCAACAGAGAATTGATATTTCTTATCTTTGCATGTAAAACCTGGAGTATTCCAAGAAAATATTCGTACATCTCCTTAAAGATGAAATTCAATCAAACCTATAGTAATCGGAATTAAGATTATTCCTACAAAGAGGATTACATGTAATGTTTTGTGTGTGTGTGTGTGTGTGTTTAAACATTGGATTTATTTTCCAAGATATATGAACAATTTAGAAATCAGTTTGGGCAGTATCTATTAATTTCGTCTTGCAAGTTAAGATAGACATTAATATGGTTTTTAGCTAACATGTGGTATTTAAATCAAATAAGAATAGTCTACAACTAGTATCTAAAGCTTTTTATTGTCTCCTTACAATATCATGCCAGTTTTTGTTTACTTATATTTATAGCGTTACACACAAAGTAATGGCAGAAGACCCTTTGGAATTTCTGCCTTAATTGCTGGTTTTGATTATGACCACACACCTCATCTTTTCCAGTCTGACCCCTCTGGTGTTTACCATGAATGGAAAGTAAGTATCCACAACTAATTCCTTTCTTCTTTACCATCCAATGAAAGTAAGAGTATAAAAGTTATTACTGTAATGTTTACCTAGAATGTGAAGTTTACAGAACTAATTTACCTGGTGTTTATAATAAATGGAAAATTATATGTTAATTCCATTGGTATTTATTGAAACTGGAAAGTAGGAAGGTAAAACTAAGTCTCATGAATGTGTACCAGCTATTAATGGTTATTTTGTCAATGTTTCAACAGAATTCAGATATATTGAAGGATTAGTTTGAAGCAACTTTTCAATTTGGTTTGTATCCTTAATTAAAGATCAATTTCTTTTAAGATGTTTGTTAATTATTTAGTGTGAACAGTTATAATTTATAGTTACATCAGCTATTTATCATACATATAAAATTGTCTGCTCTAATCTTTCATGTAGATTTTAGATATTGTTTAAAGATGACAGTGCTCTTCTAAGAATAGTAGTCATTGTAAATAATAATAAAAATGTTTTATCACCTTTCAACACACTTAAAATGTAGTTTGTATTCTGTACAGTCAGTTTACCTCTTTTTTCTTATTGCCAGTTTTGGATCAATTGGATAGTTGCATAATTATAACATAACATAATGTTTTGGGACAACATAGGACCTATTGGTCCATCTCAGCTGTCCCATCACCGAAACTAAACTAAAACTATTAATAAATAAACTTAAAAAAACACTTAAAGCCAGCCCTTATCATTCCTATACTTATCAAGCTTTTTCTTAAACTAACTTAAATTTACTGCTTCCACAACATCCAGAGGCCAACCACCCTGTTAGAAAAGTATAACTGTCTCAGCTGAAGATGACTTCTACCCTGTCAAAATTTATATACATGTCCCCTAGTCCTACTATTCTCACTGTTAAGTATAAAAAAAAATGCTTCAACACAATCAATTCACTTTATAATCTTAAACATTTTAATCAGATCCCCTCTAACTCTTCTTTTTTTTCAAGAGAAAACAATTTGAGAGATTTCAGTCTCTCTTTTTATGACAACCCCTCCATCCCAGGCACTATTCTATTGACCCCCCTTTGAACCCTTTCTAACAATTCATTGTCCTTCCTAAGGTAACAATCACAAGATCTGAGTACAGTATACTCCAAATGTGACCTAACCAGTGCCCTGTACAATGAAATTATAACCTCTATAGACTTGTATTCAATATTTCTGTAGATACAACCTAAAATCCTATTTGCTCTACCACTAGCAACTACTACACCAAGATCCCTTTCTGTCATGACACTGTTAAGGTTATTCCCATCCAAATTATACTTGTAATTCAAATTATGATAACCCACATGCATTATTTTGCATTTATTATAATTAAAACCCATTTGACATTTATTTGCTCAACTCACTAAATGATCTAAATCCTTTTGTAAATCAGCAGCATCCTCCTCATAGCTAGCAACACCCAAGACCTTAATATCATCTGCAAATTTAAGTTATTTATTGGCCATTTCTTTATCTATGTCATTGGTGTAAATCAAAAAGAGCAAAGGTCCTAAGACTAAGCCCTGAGTTACCCCACTTGTAACATTAATCCAGTTTGACTGAACTCAATTTGTAACAACCCTCTGCTTTCTTCTATCCAATTTGTTAAATTATTCCCTACACCTATAGAGATAATTTTTTTGTACAAGCCTTTTATGTGGCACCTTGTCTGAAAATCCAGATACACCAAATCTACACCCTTACCCTCATCTACATAAACAGTAACCTTTTCAAAGAATGTCAAAAGATTTGTAAGGCAATATTTTCCCTTAGTGAAACCATGTAGTTGACTATCCAATAAAATTCTAAACTTTGTTAAATGGCTTTGCAAGGCATCTTTA